TAGCCATTTGAAGTTTTTGTGTGTGTGTAAAATACTTTTTCTGGTCAACTGTATAGTTTCATTTTTCATTTATTAATTTGGAGGGTCTTTGAATGTTAAGGATATAAGCCTTTGGTTAAGGGTATTTCCTACAATATCATTTCTTTTAACTTAGTTTATGATGAATTTTGCAGTATAAAAGATTCACCTTTTTATACAACCACATCTATCATCCTTTATGAGCTCTGTTTTTAGTTTCATATTTAGAAAGTCATTCCTTACTCCAAAGTTTTGTTGATACTCACCGTATTTTCTTCTTCTTACAATTCTTAATCCTTCTGGAATTTATCTTTGTGCACTATGTGAGTTTGGGTTTATTTTTCATCATGATACAGTTACCTTAACACTCCCCACTGATAGGAAGCACAGGCTTTTTTATGTACACAATTCTTCTATGTACTTAAGATATATTTCTGAACTGTGCTTTCTACCTGGTAATGTTTTTATTATTGTATCTTGCTGGTTCATCTTAATATCTGGTAGGAAAAGGCTTTTGGGGTACTATTCTTCCTAAAGATGTGCTTGACTTTCTTTTTGCCTTTTTTCTTTCTCTTTTTTGTTCAAAACATTTACTTTGCACCTTATACAGGACACCCCGAAGTTTGCATCATGACTTGAGAGTTACCCCTGGGATCTACAGGCAGTATGTCCATCTCAACAGCATGATTCTGGGAGTTGGGGAGTCATGCAAACACAGGCAGGACTTTCGAGGGAGAAAGGGTGCAGAGCAGGCATGTACTTCAATCCTTTCTTAAGGAAAAGGCAGTAGAGCATTCTGAGTCACTGAAAACTGGTACAAAAGTTTTGCAAAATAAACTTTAAATAGATTCCTTTCACATTCTAAAAAAAAAGTTCTAGCTATTTTTATTGAGGTTTTGTTAAATTTATAGGCTTCGCCTGAGGAAAATTAATATCTTTACAATATTAAATCTTCCAACACAGTAATGTAGAATGTCTCTCCTTTTATTCAAATCTCCTTATAGATTCTGTGGTAAGGTTTGTAGATATGCACATTTATCATTAAGTTTATTACTAGGCACTTTGATTTTTTTTTATTACCATGATATATGGGTTCTTCATTTCTATTTTCTTTCTTAGCTAATTCTTGCTGATATACATTTTTTTTTAAAGATTTTATTTATTTATTTGACAGAGAAAGACACAGCGAGAGAAGGAACACAAGCAGGGGGAGTGGGAGAGGGAGAAGCAGGCTCCCCGCAGAGCAGGGAGCCCGATGCGGGACTCGATCCAGGGACTCCAGGATCATGACCTGAGCCGAAGGCAGTCGCTTAACCAGCTGAGCCACCCAGGCGCCCTATACATTAATTTTTAAATATTTGTCATAATTGCCAAACTTTCTGAACTCTTGTTAGTTCTAACAGTTTTTCAAGCAACCATACAGTCTTCAAATAATGATAATTTTGTCTGTTCCTATCAAATATTTATACCTCCCTTATCTCTTTTTCTCATTATTGCATTGATTGGCACTTCCAGAACAATCTTAAATAATGCTAATGACAGTCAAATTATTAACTTTAATGGAAATGCTTCTAATGTTTTATTGCTAAGTATAATATTAGCAGTTGGTTTGACATATTAACATGTTAAGATTTTCTTTAATCAAAATGTATGTTGATTTTTAGAAATTTTTTTAGCATCCTGTTAAAATGATCATATGATTTTTCTCCTTGACATCATTGATCAATACATATAATATATTCTATATTGATGCCATAAATTATGTAAATAGGTACTTTTACCATTGAACTTTTCTTTTACCATTGAACCTTCTAAGCTCTTTTTGGTCATGGCGATTTGCCTGTTAAAATTATAACTGCAGGTTTAGTTTGGAAAATGGACTGGAAGGAGACAATGACAAAGGTAGAGAGAACATTTAGGAAGCAATTACAGTTCTGAAATAAAACAATGGCAGTGGAGACAGAGAAGAGGTCTGGATCTGAGAGATGTTTAGGAAGAAAGATCAATAGTAGCTCCTTGGATATGAAATCTGAAGGGAAGAAAGGAATCCTTCCTTCCAAGAACTGCTAGGTTCCTGGTTTGGTGACATTTACCAAGACAGGGCTACAGGAAGAAAAGCAGGTCTGGGGGTGGGGGATTGGAGAAGAGGATAAAGGATGAACTCAATTTTAGGACTCTTAAGTTTGATGTCCTGAGTGGAACACCCAGATAGAGACAGGTAAGTCATCATCTACATGGATCTGGAGCAGAAAGACTTGGGCTGTAAATATCAACTTGGTGATTATCAGTGCATAGAAAACAGTTAAGTGTAGAGCGTGAGAATACAAGAAGGCTGAAAATGGAACCACAAAGAATGACTCATTTTAAGAGATGGGAGAAGGAAGAAGTGGTTGTATATGGCACACAACTTTACTCCCCTCGACTACTTCCTTCTTTCCAGAGGCACCATTCACCTGCACCATTCACCTGCTGCCTCTGCTGAGTTCCCTGGAGTCAGAAAGGAAGTCCCAGACCCGTATGACCTACACACCCTCCCATCTGTACTGGTTTCTCCTCACTCTCAGATAAGACTAAACGCCATACCACAGGACATGAAATCTTGCTTCTGCAGATGGTATCAATAGACCAGGTAATGCACCATAGAAGTCACACAGAAGGGGCACCTGGGTGGCTCAGTTGGTTGAACATCTGCCTTTGGCTCAGGTCATGATCTCTGGGTGCTGGGATGGAGTCCTGCATAGGGCTCCCTGCTCAGTGGGAGAGCCTGTTTCTCCCTCTGCCCCTCCCCCTCTGTGATCTCTCTCTTTCAAATGAATAAATAAAATCTTAAAAAAAAATAAGTCACACAGAATGACAAGAGAGTTAGCTTCTTGTGGGGCTTGACAAATGGGAAATGAGAGATGGAAGTGAGGTTGATAGGTGCATTTTTCTCATTTCCCCCTTCTACACACTATTTCAAGGTTGGGATTCCTCCCTATGGCCATGACAGAGAACCTCTGTGGCTCAAGGAATCTACCTAAGTCACCTGCTATTTCTCACCATGGCTTGCTGGGAGTAGTGCCAGCATGTTAACATATCATACTGCACTGCTTGGCTTTTTTCACTGTTACCTTCCTGAGCTTGTACCTAACCCCTTCCCCCCCACACAAAAAAATCAGCACTTTAATATTGACCCCAGGTGCTATAATCTAGAGAATTTTCACTAAGACACAGATGCTAAATTGGTAAATTGAATAGGAGAAAGACTATTTAAATCAACTCTTCATTTGGACTTGGATCTTTAGAGCATGTGTTCTATTTTTCTGAGATTTCAACATGATGTAATGAGAAAGGGAATAAAAAGGAGGGCACTGTGGAGGCATGAATCGTGATTAGATCTGAGAAAGGTAGAGCAGGACCAGGTAGAGAACTGTCAAATTAGAAGATGAAAAGGATATTAAACATTAATATTAGAACAGCTGTTGAGTTCACATGTTACCCCAGGTTAGGTTATTGAAAGAACATAGCAATCTGGTTTTATTTATTAAGTCACTATCAGAAGTACTAGCAACATCTAGCAAAACCTGTCATCCATAAGATGTCTATTTGCTTTGCTACAACAGAAAGCCTACAACAAATAGCCTTTATCTATTGGCCTTTCTCATGAGGAGGGCAATGTCCTGGGCTTAATGGAAGTAGGGCAGTTGCTGGGGGGAGGCTTCTCAAACTAATAAGACTTAGATGTACCCTGAAGATGATATGGTCTCAGAGGCATAAGTACAATGAAGTATACAGATCATTATTAATACAAGGTCATATAACATTTAAAAATTACTCAAAAAAGGGTACAAATAAAATTCTAAGAAGATCAAAGGAGGGAGAGATTATGTTAGTGGAAAATAATTGGGAAACACTTGAGAGAGGTAGTATATTTGTTAGACCTAATTTTAATAGTTACCCCCAGGGGAAGGATAGGCAGACTATACGAGTAAAAAACCAGCACAGGGGCAGGAAATAACAGTATAATTGTAGAATGATAGACCTTAACAGATTTGAGGGATATATCCAAAAACTTTGAGAATCCCCAAATAGTCATAAACCACTATATCATACATCTTCCCCAACAAAATGCATATATAATACTGAGTATGTAGATACAAAGCCATCATGTGATGTGAAAGATGGACTATCAGCTAGCCTTGCATACCAACTAAATGATTTGCTTCTTCATGTCCATATCCAAGTACACAGGATGCAAATTTGGAACTCAGCAAAATGATACATGACTGCATTTTACCCAGGGACAATCAACGTTGAATGTTAAATCCATAAATATCAACAGCCTACTGAAGTTCCATCTGGCTGAAGTGTTCAGCATGAATCAACCCAGAAAAGGATTCCACTTGTTTTAGGATAAAAGGAAACATTTTATCATTTGTTTGCAATTTCTTAATATTTCTTCTATTTTGATGAAGCTCGTTTCATGAACATATCTTGTGTTTTAGCTTCTTCTCTTCTATCTACACTCTACCTAACACCAGGTGAAAATTCATCCTCAGGTCAAGAAGGATAACTAGACAGGTCCAACCCCTCAGCAGGCCTTGTAGACCACTGGGGACCATTAGAAGAGTGGCCCATGGGAGCTCTTCTGTCCATCCTGGGTCTGGGAACACAGCCAAGTAAAAACCTTAGTGGTAATCAGGACCCTACAGTATAGGCTGGAAAAAACTCTAACTTTGATCACATCCCAGTGTCTCTCTCCTGACGGCTTTGACAACCTTTAAGCTGAAGAAGAAAAAAGGGGATTGCAGGAAGATACAATTAAGATTGCACTCATGCACATGCACACACATGCATACACACACAAACCAAAACCAAATGAACAAACAGTGGTCTCCACTGTTTGGCTTGCTGCCAGAAATAGCAGGCACTGAAAGAACAAGAAGCAGTTCCCAAGAACAACCTTTCCACAAAGCAAAGCCCTGAAGAGTTAACTGACTCACGGAAGCCAAAATGGGCTTTCCAAAGCTTCAAATGAGGGCTTCAGTCAGCCAGCCGGGGCATGGATCAGGACAGGAAGAACTTGAGAATAAACAAACACCAATTAAACTCATAGCCATTACCCTCTGATACCAATATTACAAATCTGATTTTGACCAAAACCCTCTAAAACCAAAAAGAAAATGTCCTTCTGACTACAAAAATATTTCCGTCCTCTTGAGGTTATAACACATTAAATGGATACAACAAAAAAAGTTAAAGCCATGCTTCAGTGGATTGCTTAAATGATGAATTAAAGAGAGAAAGAGCATTTCTTGTCAGTAATCCCTGAACTTCATTTCTAAAGGCCTTAATATATAATGAAATTTGATAGACCATTTGACAGCTATTAAATGGGACCATTAGGAAAGCTTCATAGAAACATGGGTGAATGATCCTTAAATAAGGTTGAGTGAAAAAAAATCAAAATATAAAACATCTGGAATTACAATAGCCTACATTTATTAAGGATTTATAACTGAAATATACATATACACATGGATATGAATTAGAATGGAAGTAGTTGTATTAGGATATGAGATTTAGGGTAATCTTGATTTTCTTGAAAATTTTCTTTGATATTATCACAGCAATTTATCGATTAAAATAAGTATAATCAAAAAACTAATTCTAGAGGAAAAACTGATGAATACCAAATTACTGCTATTGATTTTCTTATGCTTTGTCATGCATCCAAGTTTATAATGGAAAGTATTGACAGGAAATTTGACTTCTATAGGAAACAACAAAGCAGTCACTTTGTAAACTTAAATTTAAAAAATACAACAGAGAAAATGAGGGGTTTGGGTTTGAAAAGAAAACTTAATTTAAAAGTGTTCAGGGGGCGCCTAGGTGGCTCAGGAGGTTAAGTGTCTGACTTTTGATTTCAGCTCAGGTTATGATTCTCAGGGTTGTGAGATCAAGCCCAGGGTCAGGGGCACTCAGTCAATCTGCTTGAGATTCTCTCTCTCCCTCTCCTTCTGCCCCTCCCTGCCGCTTGTGCACACTCTCTCCTCTCTCTCAATAAATAAATACAATCTTAAAAAGATTAAAAAAATGAAACAGTGTTCAGGGGCACTTGCCTGGGTCGGTCTCTAGAGCATGTGACTCTTGATCTTGGGGTCATGAGTCTGAGCCCCACATTGGGCATAGAGATTACTTAAAAAATTAAAAAATAGTTTCAGACCCATGACATGAAGGGACCATGATGTTGCTTCAGCTGTCCTGGGGATTCCCATGTGAGGCCCACAGTGTGGCAGTTTTGTAGTTGGGGGCTCTGTATCCACACTTCAGCTCCACCACTGGAGTTGTAGCTTTTTAGTCAAGTTACTTAAGCCTTAGCTTCCTCCTTTTTAAACTGGAAATATGGATAACCCACCTCAAAAGATATCGGTAAGTCTTCAACAATATAAAGCATGTAAAGCAAGCACCTAATACCTTGCACAGTAGGCAGTTCATATTCAGTAAATGCTACTTCCCTTATCTCTCCATTCCCTTTTCAAAAATCCACCATATAAAAGTGCCTGTGACTGAGTTATCATCAGGTTATTAATAACACCATTTGCCACTTATTAGCTGCCTATTAGGAGACCCATTACCTGGTAACAGTAGGCTTCCAGTAAAGATATGCTTAATAAATGGGTGGATGGATGGATGGTTGGATGATGGATGGATGGCTTAGTCTCTGTCTTCAGATCCCTGGAGGAAGAGACACTGGGTTTGTTCTATATATTTCTAAAGAATACAGCTGGGGCCAGAAGGTATAGTGGTAACCTCTATTTTTTGAGGAGAGAGAATGGGTTTGACTAAGCAAAGGCCAGGCTATTGAAGACCTTGGGAAGAACAGAGTGAAAGGGGGGGCTTTTCTGACTCCCCAGGTCTTTGGACTCTGCTGGAGTCACCTTCTCCATCTCTGGGTCTGAGAGGACAGCACCCTGCCAGAGGTGCATTGCTCACTTGCCTCAGTCCCTGATGCTCTGAGGATGGACCTTTGTGGAAGACCTGTTCGACTATAACAGGCCTTCCACATGCTCAGGCCCAGGTGCAATGCATGGGCTGTTGCCACTTAATTTCCTTGGACAGCAGGTAGAAGCTACCAGGAGACAGTTTCATATAAAACCAAGAACAGCATTCCAATAAAGCTGTCCAAACATGGAAAAGGCTGCCTCATTACCAACCCCTGGGCTGGGAGGAATGTTGCTACAGTTTTGTTATGTTGGAGAGAGAATTCTAGCTTTAGCTTGATGGTTACAGAGAAAAACTTCTAGCCTGAGATTTTGATTTCATTCCACTCTGTGTCACACTCTTAAAATTAGGCTTTCTACTGACACCTAGAGACTTACTTGTAAATGTTTCTACAAATCCAAACCTGAGGAAAGCTTCATTCTTAGTTCAAATTTTCAACTCCACTTGGGCCTATAGGTATTCTCCTTCTGCAGATACTCCCAGTGGAGGAGTCTCACAAAAGACTAAATATTATGATCTTGCAATCACTGTGTCTTTTTTTTTTAAGATTGTAAGTAATCTCTTCACCCAATGTGGGGCTCAAACTCACAACCCCAAGATGAAGAGTCGCATGCTCTACCAACTGAGCCAGCCAGGTGCCCCGCAATCACTGTATCTTGACACAGCTACAGGACCAACACAGAAACACAGTTAGAGAAGGTCCCTCTCTGTCTCAGCCTCATGGAGAAGGAAACAGGCCATATACATGACACAATAAATTACCATGTGAGGGAGAACCTGCCAAATAGCTAATGTGGGTGATTAGCGTCATGAAAGTTAAAACAATAAAAATAACTCTGTGGTCTGGGGAGGAAGAGCTTTTGCAGAGGGAGTGAAACTAGAGCTGGTTCTTGATGGAGAAATAACCCAGGAAGGTAAGGCGGGGTGGGAACAGGTGGCAGTAAGTATAGTGAGATTCCTTGGAGTCCGGTAAACCTGTTATCAAATCCTGGCTTCTCTTTACTAGTCACAACTTCAGCTAATTTCTTCAAGTCTCTGAACATCAGCCTCCTCCTCTTCCAATGAGGACACTCATGCCTTCTTTGAAGGCTTGCTGTATGTATTAGAGATAACACATATAATTTGGCTTGCTCGGTGTTTGGCACATAATAAGCATTCCAATGACAGCTTGTATTGCTGTGGATTTGACACAGGGGTGGACCTGGTGTGTTCAGGGAATATGACATGAGACAATTTGGGGTAGTGTTTGTGTGGAAGCACAGGAAGTGAGTCTGAGGCTGCGTTATGTGCTGGAGAGAACCCAGGTCGGAGTCAGGAGACCTTGGTTTGAGTTCTTAATCTAATTTTACCAGACAAGTCACTTCCTTCCTCAGGGCCTCTCTTTCCCATCTGTGCAGTGAGGATGTTGGTCTAGAGAAGTATTTCTTTATCCTGGCTGCATACTGGAATCATCTAGAGAGTTTTTCAAACTTCTAATGACCGTGCCTCACTCCAGACCAACTAAATCAGAATTTCTGGGGCTGAGACTCCAGACAGCAGAAAAAATAATTTTTTTATTGAGATATAATTATTTATATATTTAGTGCATACAATTTGATGAGTTTGGACATATGCACACAACCAAGACATTATCACCACAATTAAGGTAATAAACATATCCATCACCTCTAAAAGTTGGTGTCCCATTTTTGTGTGTTTGGTAAGAATACTTAACATGAGATCTACCCTCTATATTTTTAAATGCACAATACTGTGCTATTAACTACATGCACTTTGTTGTACAAAAGATCTCTAGAATTTATTCATCTCGCATAATTGAAACTTTACACCCATTGAGCCCCTGGCAACCGCCATTCTATTCTCTGCTTCCAATCATTTGACTAGTTTAGATACCTCATAAAAAGGGAATCATAGAGTATTTGTCCTTCTGAGACTGGCTTATTTCACTTATAATGCCCTCCAAGTTCATCCATGTTGTCACAAATAATAGGATTTCCTTCTTTTTTAAGGCTGAATAATATTCCATTATACATATATGCCACATTTTCTTTATCCATTCATCTGCTGATGGACATTTGGCTATTGTAAATAATGCTGCAATGAACATGGGAGTGCAAATATCTTTTTGAGATACTGATTTCAATTCTTTTGGATATATACCAAAAGTGGAATTGCTGGATCATATGGTAGTTTTATTTTTAATTTTTTGAGGACCCTCCATACTGTTTTCCATAGCAGCTGAATGATTTTACATTCCCACCAACAGTGTACGAGTCTTCCAATTTTTCATCATCCTCACCAATACTTACCTTTTGTTTGTTTTGTAATAGCCATCCTAACGGGTGTTGAGGTGATATCCCATTGTGGTTTTGATTTGCATTTCCCTGAAATGCAATGATTAGTGATGTTGAGTACTTTTTCATATACTTGGTAGCCATTTGTATGTCTTCTTTGAAGAAATGTCTTTTCAAGTCCTTTGCCCACTTTTTAATTGTGCTATTTGTTTTTCTTGCTATCAAGTTGTAAGAGTTTCTTACATATTTTGGACATTAACCCCTTATAAAATAAATGATTTGCAAATATTTTCTCCTGTTCCATTCTGTGCCTTTCACTTTTGATTGTTTCCTCTACTGTGCACAAGCCCGCTTTAATCTGATGTGATCTCACCCACCTATGTTTGCTTTGTTGCCTTTATTTTTGGTGTCATATCCCAGGAATCATTGTCAAGATCAATGTCTAGGTAACTGGGTGGTTCAGTCGGTTAAGCAACCCACTTGGGGCCATGATCTCAGGGTTGTGAGATCAAGCCCCACATCCGGCTCCGTGTTCAGGGAGGAGTCTGCTCGAGATTCTCTCTCCCTCTCCCTCCCCCATTCACCCTCTCTTTCTGCCTCTCTCTCTAAAATAAAATCTTTTTGTTTGTTTTTTTAGATTTTATTTATTTATTTGATATATGTATATAGAGAGAGCACACGAGGGGGGGGATGCAGAGGGAGAGGCAGGCTCTCTGTTAAGCACGGAACCCAACACGGGGTTCGATCCCAGGACCCTGGAATCATGACCTGAGTTGAAGGCAGATGCTTAGCTGACTGAGCCACCCAGGTGCCCCCAAATAAAATCTTTAAAAAAAAAGATCAATATCAAGAAGCTTTTCCCCCATGTTTTCTTCTAGGAGCTTCACAGTTTCAGGTCTTACAGTTTAAGTCTTTAATCCATTTTGAGTTGATTGTTGGGTATGGTACAAGATAAGGATTCAACTTCATTCTTTTCATGTGGATATCCAATTTTTCAGTAACATTTGTTGAAGAGACTAGACTGTCCCTTCCACATTGTATATTCTCAGCATCCTTGGCAAAGATCAGTTGACAATATATCCATGGGTTTACTTTTGGCTCTCTATTCTGTTCCATTGGTCTATATGTCTGTCTCTATGCCGATACCATATTGTTTTAACTACTGTAGCTTTGAAATATATTTTGAAATCAGGAAATGCAATGCCTCCAGCTTACAGACAGCAGATTTTTTAAACCTCCCCAGGTGATTCCAACATGGATCCAAGGTTGGGAGCCATTAGACTATTGTCAAAGCCAAACTCTGTGCTCTGGAGTTGAAATATGTAATGCATAGACAGAGTTTGGGTATAAAGAAAGAAAATAGTTTACTACTTTGCCAGGCAAAGGAGGCTGCGGCAGGCAAATGTCTTCACGATGGTAAGCCCACCAGGGTAAAAGGCAGGAAAATACAGGATCTGGCAGTTTCGACAGGTACATGCCGCCAGCTGCCCTGTCATGTTTCAAGGTGGTCTCATGACCAGCACTGACACCAGCTGTCACAGTCTTGTTACTAAGTATATATTGAGGTCAGTGAGATGTCAATATCGACACCAAGTTCCTGGAACAAAGGATTTTACAGAAAAACAAGTGAAGAGAAGGGGGAGGCTTCAAGAATGAGGAAGAGAAAAATTTGTTCAGTTTTAAGTCAAGCCTCGCTGAAGCGCTAAGGTGTCCATCTTAATTTCCATCCGCCTTTATGTTTCTATAGTGGTTTCAAGACTACATAATTTTTAAAGTGTCTTGTAGTTCTAATATTAGAAAGATAAAGAAAAATAGGGGCGCCTGGGTGGCTCAGTCATTAAGCATCTGCCTTCGGCTCAGGTCATCATCTCAGGGTCCTGGAATGGAGCCCCACATCAGGCTCCTTGCTCAGCCTGCTTCTTCCTCTCCCTCTACCCGCCACTTCCCCTGCTTGTGCTCTCTCTCTCTCTGTCAAATAAATAAATAAAATCTTAAAAAATAATAAATTAAATCAAATCTCCTTACAGCACACATCCCACTGACACCTGAGACATGCAGAGCGTGATATTCCTCAAGGAGTTCGTGGCTGCCTTAAGCCTTAATGTTTATATTTCATTAAAGACTAAAAGTAACCTTATCTTGACAATGGCTAAATTTTCAAGGTCCTGTAAGACCCTGCTTTCAGCATACAAAAATTCCTTAGAAACCTATGTTATCTCTACCTCCCCTCCCTCCACAAAATTTAAAATATATAATCAGTCAGCCCTCACACTTGCAGGTGCAGCTTCTTCTGGCCACAGGTCCTATCCCCTCTCCCACCAGGCGAAGAGAAGACCTACCTTTTTGCTGGAAGTTAGTACCCTGGCCTGAATGGTAGTAAGACCCAGAAACTTGATGCCCTTTCTTTATTCCTAGTCTTATACAGAGTTGTCTTTTGGGCAGAGGACAGTCACCTAAGTCACTAGGACAGATGCCAATCTTAAGACTCTCATATGATGTTTCCTCCTTATTGGTCTAATGTGATCCCCTCCACATCTCTGGTCTAGCCACTTCTGACCACGAGAACTCCATTGGGAGCCAGCCGAAACCAGTACCTGACTGAATTAAAACCCAAATGGGGACTGTTTCCTAGGGAAGTCAGCTTTAAGGACCACATGTGTTGGAATGTCGCTTAGATCATGATGGACTTCTATCTTCACTATTTTTCATCAGTGTCCCCTACTGACTACTGAAGCTACAAAATTGGATAATTTCCCCTTGTAAAACTTTTCTAAGTGTTTTCCATGGGTTAACAATGGCAGGGCCGTCACACAGCAAGGCAAGGCAAGGCAAGACAAGTTATCTTGGTCCATACGCCAGCACCCATTTTCCAGTCTAGAATGCGATGGGGAAGTGGGTGGGGGGACACTAGCATCCCTCCTACAGGGCCTTTAATGGCAGGCGGTGATCATAGCGATTTCGTTCAAGGGACACCTCCAGTTGCTTTGATACCAGGAACCTCTGACATCCTGCGAGGGACGCCACCCAGGAGTTGGGGAGGAATTTTAGCAATGGACCTTCTCTACTTTTCTAGGAACATGGCATCTTCTTCAGTCCCCAAGGACTTTCCCTTGTGATGCCTTTTAACCCACTGGAATCAATTCAGACTGCAAGATCTAAGAAAGAAAAAACTGATCTTTTGTAATACTGCCTGGCCTCAGGACTCCTTAGGAGATGAGTAAAATGGTCCATTAATGGGTCACTAAGCTTTAATACAATCTATCAGTCAGATCTCTTCTGCAAGGAACAGGGCAAATGGACTGAGGTACCCCCTATGTAGAAACCAGAGGATCTGGCATGACAGGGCCCTGAGGCTGATCTGGCTCCCTCTGACATCAAGATGAGTGCACCCCACCCAGATGTCTATTGACAGATGAATGGATAAAGATGTGATACACACACACACACACACACAATGGAATACTACTCAGCGATCAAAAAATGAAATCTTGCCATTTGCAATGACGTGGATGGAACTAGAGGGTATTATGCTAAGCGAAATAAGTCAGAGAAAGACAATTATCATATGATCTCACTCATATGTGGAATTTAAGAAACAAGACAGGATCATAGGGGAAGGGAGGGAAAAATAAAACAAGACGAAATCAGAGAGGGAGACAAACCATAAGAGACTCCTAATCATAGGAAACAAACTGAGGGTTGGTGGAGGGGAAGGGGGGGGATGGGCTAATTGGATGATGGACATTAGGAGGGCACGTGATGTAATGAGCACTGGGTATTATATAAGACTGATGAATCCCTGAATGCTACCTCTGAAACTAATAATACACTATATGTTAATTAATTGAATTTAAATTAAAAAAAAAAAAAAGATGACTGTGCCCCAGGTTACCCTGGATGTGGAAGGTAAGTTTATCAATTTTCTTATTGATACTGGAGCCATTTACTCTGTTCTTAGTCAGCACTCTGGTCCTACTTGTTTTTGTAGCCATACAATTGCTGGCAGAGAAAGAGAAACAAAATGTGCCGTTAGACAATGCCTTTAACTTGTAAATGTAAAAGTAAATTGGTTACTCAAGTTTTTCTAGTCCTTCCAACCTGTCCTACTCCATTGCCTGGATGAGACTTATATAAACTAGGAAGCAGGTTTGCTCTTACTAAAGAAGAGGATGGCTTGTTCTCTTTAACATCTGGGGAATTAAAACCTTACCCTCATATCCCTTCTAATATCTGGAAGGAAGTAAATTCCCAGGTCTGGGATTGTGATGTCCCAGGTCAGGCTCTTAAAGCCCAGCCAGTTAAAGTAACCTTAAAGGATGTAAGCACTATACCTCATAAAAGACAATACTCCTTAAAACCTGAGGCAGGGGTGCCTGGGTAGCTCAGTCAGTTAAGCATCTGCCTTCGGTTCAGGTCATGATCTCAGGGTTCTGGGATCAAGCCCCACATCGGGCTCTCTGCTCAGCAGGGAGCCTGCTTCTCCCTCTCTCTCTGCCTGCCACTCCCCCCTGCTTGTGCTCTCTCTCTGTCAAATAAATAAAATTAAAAAAAAAAACCTGAAGCAAAGGCTGGGTTACAACCACTTATAAGTTTCTCAAAGATGGTATTTTATTTTATTTATTTTTTAAAGATTTTATTTATTTATTTGAGAGAGAGCATGAACAGGAAGGAATGGTAGAGGGAGAGGGAGAAGCAGACTCCCTGCTGTGCAGGGAGCCCGATGCAGGGCTCAATCCCAGGGCCCTGAGATCATGACCTGAGCTAAAGGCAGATGTTTAATAGACCGAGCCACCCAGGCTCCCCAACATGATATTTTAAAGCCTTGTCAATGACCTTATAATACTCGAATTTTACCAGCAAAAAAGCCAAATGGAGAATATCAGATGGTACAAGATTTAAGAGCTATAAATGAGGCAGTGGTGTCTATTCATCCCATAGTGCCAAATCCATACACTATTCTCACCCAGGTCCCTGGTGATGCCAACTGGTTTACAGTACTTGATTTAAAGGATGCCTTCTTCTGCATCCCTCTAAGTGAGGAAACACAGCCACTATTTGCTTTTGAATGGGTCTTACCTTCAAGCCCACAA